TTAACAAAAACACAGAAAACAAAAACAAAAACCTATCTTTTGGGTAAGATTAGGCTTCTCCTGTTCTGTCTCACCACTCTTTAAATAATTGCGTTAAAGAGGTTTAAATAGCCAGACCTCAGAACTAGGAGAATTTAAAGACAAAACTCATGAAGAGCCTTCTGTAATAGTAATTAAAATATTTGTAGTAATTTATAGTAATAATTCCTGAAGTACTTTTAAATAATTGTTTTTTCTTTTAGAAAAAAAAATTATGCAGTCCAAATAATTTAGAAATGGGAAAACTTGCTGTGTTCTCAGGTTGAGAGTAAAGAGGAATATGAAGATTGAATTAGTTATGTATTCTAATATTTTAGATTTCCAGTGTCTTAATTTTTTACTCTTTTTACTTTATAACTAAATGGATTTTTAAAAGCTTATTATATAAAATTTATGTTGTTCTGTATACATGAAAATACAGATAACAAATTCTTTTTTGTGTTGTTAGGATATTTAACCCAGAGCATTGTACTTGTTTGGCAAACACTGCCAATGAACTCTATCTCCAGCCCCCCACAGATAACAAATTCTTGGTTCAAATAAAGCAGTTTAATTGTGTTTTTTTATGATAGTGTGTTTTTTTTTGTAACAGAATTTTTTAAGTCCAATGAATGACAGACATTCAGTCATAAATTTCTGAAGACTGTGGCTGAGACTTATTCATCTGTTTCCCCTTAGAATTTAGCATAACACCTTGTTTACAGAAGGTGTGTGCGCATAGCATAACACCTTGTTTACATGAGTGTGTGTGTGTGTGTGTGCGCGCACGCATGTGTGTGTGTTTAATTTATATATGACAGCAGAATGCATTACAATTCTTATTACATATATAGAGCACAATTTTTCATATCTCTGGTTGTATATATAGTAATTCACACCAATTCGTGTCTTTATACCTGTACTTTGGATAATAATGATCATCACATTCAACCATCGTTAATTGCCCCATGCCCCCTCCCTTCCCCTACAGCCCTTCTGCCCTATCTAGAGTTCATCTATTCCTCCCATACTCCCTCTCCCTATCCCACTACGAATCAGCCTCCTTATATCAAAGAAAACATTAGGCATTTGGCTTTTTGGGATTGACTAACTTCACTTAGCATTGTCTTCTCTAACTTCATCCATTTACCTGCAAATGCCATGATTTTATTCTCTTTTATTGCTGAGTAATATTCCATTGTGTATATGTGCCATATTTTTTTAAATTCATTCATCTATTGAAAGGCATCTAGGTTGGTTCCACAGTTCAGCTATTGTGAATAAACATTGATGTGGCTGTGTCCCTGTAGTATGCTATTTTTAAGTTGTTTGGGTATAGACCAAGGAGAGGGATAGCTGGGTCAAATGGTGGTTCCATTCCCAATTTTCCAAGAAATCTCCATTCTGCTTTCCATATTGGCTGTACCAATTTGCAGTCCCACCATCAGTGTATGAGTGTACCTTTTCCCCCGCATCCTCGCCAACACTTATTGTTGTTTTTATGCATAATAAGTGCCATTCTGACTGGAGTGAGATGAAATCTTAGAGTGGTTTTGATTTGCGTTTCTCTAATTGCTAGTGATGATGAATATTTTTTCATGTATTTGTTGATTGATTGTACATCATCTTCTGAGAAGTGTCCCTTCAGGTCCTTGGCCCATTTATTGATTGGTTTATTTATATTTTTGGTGTTTAGTTTTCTGAGTTCTTTATATAATAGAGATTAGTGCTCTATCTTATGTGTAAGGGGTAAAGATTTGCTCCTAAGATGTAGGCTCTCCATTCACCTCACAGATTGTTTCTTTTGCTGAGAAGAAACTTTTTAGTTTGATTCCATCCCATTATTGATTCTTGATTTTAATTCTTATGTTATAGGAGTCTTATTAAGGAAGTTGGGGCCTAATCCCACATGATGGAGATTAGAGTCTACTTTTTCTTCTGTTAGATATAGGGTCTCTGATTGTATTTCTAAATCCTTGATCCATTTTGAGTTGAGTTTTGTGCATGGTGAGAGATAGGGGTTTAATTTCATTTTGTTGCATATGGATTTCCAGTTTTCCCAGCACCATTTGTTGAAGAGACTGTCTTTTCTCCAATGCATGTTCTTATCTTTGTCTAATATAAGGTAATTGTAGTTTTGGAGGTTAGTCTCTATGTTCTCTATTCTGTACCATTGGTCTACCAGTCTGTTTTGTTGCCAATACTATGCTGTTTTTGTTACTATTGCTCTGTAGTATAGTTTAAGGTCTAGTACAGTGATGCCACCTGCTTTTCTCTTCCTGCTAAGGATTGCTTTAGCTATTCTGGGTCTCTTATTTTTCCAGATGAATTTCATGATTGCTTTTTCTATTTCTATGAGGAATGCCATTGGGATTTTGATCAGAATTGCATTAAATCTGTTTAGTGCTTTTGGAAATATGGTCATTTTTATAATATTAATTCTGCCTATCCAAGAGCAAGGTAGATCTTTCCATCTTCTAAGATCTTCTTTGATTTCTTTCTTTAGAGTTCTGTTATTTTCATTATATAGTTCTTTCATCATTTTCATTAAGTTGATTCCCAAGTATTTTATTTATGTATTTATTTATTTAGTTTTGAGGCTATCGAGAATGGGGTAGTTGTCCTCATTTCCCTTTCTGAGGATTTCTCACTGATAATATTTTGCTGAATTCATTTACTAGTTCTAGGAGTTTTCTGGTGGAAAACTAGAAAACTAGTTAGGGTGTTCCAGGTATAGAATCATATCATCAGCAATTTCTATTTCCTGAAATAAATTGGAGATTATTGGTATTAGTTCTTCTTTAAAGGTCTTGTAGAACTCGGCTGTGAATCCATCCGGTCCTGGGCTTTTCTTGGTTGGTAGACTTTTGATGGCGTCTGCTATTTCATCACTTGAAATTGATCTGTTTAAATTGTGTATATCATGCTACTTAAATTTGGGCACATTATATGACTCTAGAAGTTCATCGATGCCTTCAATATTTTCTATTTTATTGGAGTATACGTTTTCAAAATAATTTCTAATTATCTTCTGTATTTCCGTAGTGTTTATTGTGATATTTCCTTTTTCATCATGTATGTTAGTGATTTGAGTTTTGTCTCTCCTTCTAGTTGTAAATTCTTTTAACTCTTTTTTTTTTTATCATGGAAGGTTTTTATTTCATCATTAAATCTAAAGCTTAGTTTTGCTGATATAAGATTCTTGGTTGGCATCCATTTTCTTTCAGAGTTTGGTATTTGTTGTTCCACGATCTCCTGGCTTTGAAGGTCTGGGTTGAAAAATCTGCTGAGATAAGAATAGTCTCCCCCTATATGTGATCTGATTCCTCTCTCTTGTGGCTTTTAAGATTCTATCCTTATTCTTTTTGTATGTTAGGCATTTTCATTATAATGTGCCTTGGTGTACATCTGTTGTAATTTTGTACATTTGGTGTCCTGTAAGCCTCTTGTATTTGGTTTTCCAATTTGTTCTTCATGCTTGGGAAATTTTCTGATATTATCTCATTCAAGAGATTGCGCATTCCTTTGGCTTGAAACTCTGTGCCTTTCTCTATCTCAGTAACTCTTAGATTTGTTCTTTTGATGCTGTCCCATAATTCTTGGATGTTCTGTTCATGGTTTCTAACTTTCTTCACTGTGTGGTCAACTTTATTTTCCAGATTGTATACTTTGTCTTCATTATCTGACATTCTTTCTTCCAAGTGATCTAGTCTGTTGGTTATGCTTTCTATTGAGTTTTTTATTTGATTTAAGCTATCCTTCATTTGAAGGATTTGACTTTTTTTTTTTTTTTTCAGAGTCTCTATCTCTATCTTGAAACAATCTTTTGCTACCTGTATTTGCTCTCCTATTTCTTTGTTGGAGTGATCAATTTGTGCTTGTATTTGCTCATTTAGGTCATTCTTTAATTCACAAATCATTTTGATTATGAACCTTCTGAACTCCTTCTCTGACATTTCATCAACTTCGCTGTCCATAGGTTCTGTTATTATAGTGTCCTGTCTTGTTTGGGGCACTTTCCTCTCTTGTTTTTTCATGTTGTCTATGTGTCTTCCTTTCTTGCAGTGTGGATCTGAGACATTACAGTTTCTTCCCTATATTCTTGTGGTACCTGTGCAGATTATCTGTACCTCACCTTGATGTTGGGCTTCCAGACCCTCAATGGATGCTACTGCATCCTGGATCTGGGCCCTGCAGAAGCTGGTGTGGGTGGATCTGGGCCACTAGGCTTGACCTCCTGTGGTAGTCTGCTGGTAGGAAGAGGTGGTCTTGTGCTAAAGGCTAGGCTCTGGAGGTGTCTGCCTCGCTGGGGGAGGGGTGAACCCGACCTACTCAGAGCCTGAACCCAGTGCGCTGGAGTGGCAGTCTGGGCTGGATCTGAGCTCCTGCAGTAGTTGACTGGTCAGACGGGGGTCCTGCACCAGAGGCTTGGCTATGGCGAGTGTCTGCCCCGCTGGGAAAAGACTGCTCTCCTGGGCCCTGTGCGCCCAGTGTGGGTGGATCTCAGTAGTTATATTTTGAATGTATCAATCTATGATGAAATGTATCCAACCAAGTTTTTGTTCCTTTTCAGTTGCTAAAAAAATAGAATAATAAACTAGAATTTATTTTAACTTTTGTTTTCTTACAGAAATTATTACATTTCTGAAACGTGAAAAGTAGGTAATAAAGATGAATGCCAATTGGCATTTGAAAAGTCAGATTTACTAAACAATACATCATGAGGTGATTGATTACTAGTTTTTATGAGAGAATATTGTTTAAAAATTGTTTTTATTTAGTAATTCATTTGTTCAATTATTAAGTGCTTACTACAACCACCATTTTATTTATTTAATTGGGTTTATTTAGGGATGAATCAGTTATATGAGTTATGTATATATCAAACATATCCAACTTAAAAATTGAGCTTTTTATAGGAAAAAAGAGTTTATTGTAGTTTAATTACCCCACCCTAATGATAATATATCTTTATTTTACAGGAAGGAAAACAGATATAACTTGCTGCCTTGTTTGGAGTCACATGGTGAGTTTTAAGATCAAAATTCTCCCCAATAATTTCTTAATCCCAAGTTCCATGTTTTAATATTTAGTCTTCTTTAAAATGATTCATAAAATTGACTGATCTCATGTATCAGTACTTAGGTGACAATTTACAGAAAATCAGCTCTGCAACTTGATGGGCGACAACCCTTTTCAACCAAAAGGTAAGTGTTGTGGCCACAACAGATGACAGTGTGTATGGCTTTTGTTTAACTGCTTCAAGAGATGGTGGAGGACTTTTTCTTAAAAACTTAAAATTGTTGGAGTAGCAAATGTTCATATAAAAAAGTAAAGTAGAAGTGAACTTTATTCTTTTTGTTAACAGAGATAACTATCTGTTTAGTATATTCATGTGTTTCTTCTATGCATAGACAAAAAATATTTCTAGAAAACATTAAAAAGGTGCTATGTGACCTTAACGTTTCTCTCTGCAGTGTATTCTGGATATTTTAACAATGGCAGAGTCCTGTGAGAAAGAACAAGGAAGATCTTTGCATACTCTTATCAGTTCTCTAGGGCTGCCATAACAAAGTACCACAGACTAGGTGGTTTATAGGATGGAAGTTTGTTTTCTCATAATTTTTGAGGCTAAAAAGCCAAGATTAACTTGTTGGTAGGGGTGGTTTCTTCAGAGGGCCACAAGGGGAGGGCCAGGCTTCTCTCTTGGGCTTGTAGATAGCCATGTTCTCATTAGGTTTTCACATGGTCCTCTCTCTATGCATATGCCTGCATCCCACTTTTCACTTCTGTTAAAAGACACCAGTTATATGGATTTTATTGCCACCCAAGTGACCTTTTTAAAAAATATTATTTATTTATTTATTTATATGTGGTGCTCAGGATCAAACCTAGTGCCTCATGCATACGAGGCATGTGCTCTACCACGGAGCTATCACCCAGCCCCTAGTGACCTTATTTTAACATAATTATTTCTAAAGGTCTATCTATAAATATAGCCATAGTCTGAGGTAGTGAGGGTTAGGAATTTAGCATATGGCTTTTGAGAAAACACAATTTAACCCATTACATATATCAGCTGGAAATAAATAGTACTTTTATTATCAGTTCACAGTGGATCTTCCTAATTTTTCAAAATTAGGTACTATCTTACTTCACCTTGTCTATACGTTATCTCATGCTGTGGGTATGTTGATTATCTAATGTTGTGGGGGAAATGTATTCCCAGTGAATTAAATTTGGCTGTGGCTATGTAAAATTAAGACGTGAAGAAAGAGAGTAGTTTGAGATCATGTATTTTAACATTTGAATTGAATGATATTGACTGTCAATGTAGTTCAAAATTCAAAGGAAAATAAAAATATAATGGTTTATTGAGGAAGTTATAATTGAACCAAGGATTAGTGCAAACGGGCAATTAATTGGTTGAGTATCTAGTTGAAAATGGATGTTTTACATGGTGTTTTCCATTTTCTTGAATGTATATAAAACTTAGGTAGATATCATAAATAGCTTCAAGTAATTTCTTCAGTCATACAATTACAAGGCAGTGAAGATTTGAACCATTCAATTTGATTTCAAGTCCATGTCCTTTTTATGTTGTAGACTGGAATGATATAGACTGTAAAGGTAAGGTACTCTGTGCAGAAGTGATATAGATTTTAGTATTTTTAATGATCTGAGTTGAAAAACTTAAAGAACTCTTATCTAACTAGTAAAATAGTACAATTATAAAAGGAAGGGGTCAGTTTGTGATGTTGATGACATCTGAAAAAATAGGAAGGCCTTTGATGGGTAGATTACTAAACACTTAAATATTATACCAGGGAATGGTTTGTGACATACTTTTCTATATATTTATAAAAGAATGGCATCTAATTTGTTGAAATATTTGTTTTGTATGCTGTCTCCAGAGCATAATTTCAGTTGATATCTTTCAGTTTTATGGTAGAATATTGCTTGAATTTTGAGTTAGAAGTAGAAATGATATTATTTTAGTATAATAAAAAATTACCTTTTAAAAATGATGTATTAAAGATATTGCCAGAACCCTGGAAATTTTTATTTCTTTTGTGGATAGGAGGTTTTCCTAAAATCCTGGTGTTATTGGTGTTCCATCTATATCTAAGTGCTTCTTAGGAGCTCAGTGTACTTGGTCATAATTTCTGAGAAGTGGGATTTACTGTATGTATTGCTTTGATCGGTTTCTTCAGGTGAGAAAATATAATATATTCTGGCTGGTATAAGCCTCCCTCATTTTCTGTATTTTAATTTAGCACCTATCCCTGCTTTGCTCTGTGCCTAACATTCCTGAATTTGGTAGTAATTCTAGTTTGTTTCCTACCTGTTATTTCTTAGTCTTAGTCTACCTGTGGTTAATATCTCTTTAGAAAGATAATGATTAGATAGAATATGTTTATCTAGGTGTACTACTGAAGCTCACTTTGGATTTTGTTATTTCTAAGTTTTCTATCTATGGTAAATAACTAATATCTTTCGTTTTCTGTCTTTCTATCTACCTCTTAATCTGTCTTAATTGTACTAGTTTTTATCCTAGTGAGGTTTGAATTTCTTATTGTTATTACAGGGTACTGACTACGAATATCAATTCAGAAATTGCTATTAGAATTGTTAAAGTAGATCTTCAATATCAGGTATTATAAAAATGTTTTTACTGCCAGGCACGGTGGTGGTGCATGCCTGTAATCCCAGCAATCTCAGCAGCTTGGGAGGCCAAGACAGGAGGATCACAAGTTCAAAGCTAATCTCAGCAAAAGCGAGGTGTTAAGCAACTCAGTGAGACCCTGTCTCTAAATAAAATACAAAATAGGGTTGGGATATGGCTCAGTGGTCTAGTGCCCGCTAGTTCAATACCTGGGACTCACCCCGCAAAATGTTTTTATTTTTCTTTTTGAAAATAAGGTTACTTCTCTCCTTTTGAAAATTAGATAATTTTAAAATGGCAGAACTCTTTATGGAATGTGAAGAAGAAGAACTGGAACCATGGCAGAAGAAAGTAAAAGAAGTTGAGGATGATGATGATGATGAGCCCATCTTTGTTGGAGAGATATCGAGTTCAAAACCAGCAATTTCCAGTAAGCATTTACTTTTACTAAAGCCAAATTTTATAAGATATTATTTTTAATGGAAAACTTGTGAATGTCTTATGGGACTCAGTGTACTTATTCTACTGTAAGGAGTTAGGGATGAGAGATTAGGGGGAGGCCAGTAAGAACTTGAGAATCAAAATGGGGATGTGATTGGAGACTAGAGGGAAGCCAAAGGTTAAATATCAGAGGTGTGAGAGAGAAGTAGGCTTAGATTGGCTTGTCGCATTGGAGGTCTTCTGAGATTGGAAATAATTTCTAGTGAAACTGTGTATCCGAGTAAACTGTTTATCTGTTTATTTCTGTCTTTTCTCATTTAGCAGTTACATAAGGAAGGATCTGGAATGCTTAGATTAAAATTTGGAATATACTAAGTGTATATTAGTCTCAGGTAGAAGTTCTCACATCTAGGCCTCATTGCATTGTCATTCATACATGGCTAAAACTGTATATAGGCAGTGAATGATTCAGAGTCTCTGGCTTAAGTCCTCGATGGGTTGTAGATTCTGACCATAACCATTTTTCAGCAACTTATATTCATGAAAAAGAGGGACATCACCTATAGCCACTGTACTTTGATGATGTAGCAGTTAGCACACTTAAATCCTTTTAACTTTTTGGCAGAATAGCCTCTGTGGATTACTAGCTTTCATATACAGTAATTGGGCTGGACATTGTTATATTGTTAGAGTAAAGATACCAATACTTGCTAAGATATCCACTCTGAGATGTCTGAAGTATAGAGAAATAACATAGATTTCAAGTAGAAGGAGAAAATAGATCCTTTCTGATTTTATTTATACATTTGTTTTAAACCAGGAGAATTTATCAAAGAATGTAATGTGCCCTGCATATTACTGTTTTCTTAACTTACTATGGCAATGCTTAAAAGTGTGAATGAGTCTCAAGTTTCTGTACAACCTTGTCACCATTCAAAGAAAGATGTAGATTGTATATAAATACATTTTAGAACACTTCAAATATGTAGACTCTTTTTGTGTGTTGGACTGCTGTTGAATATGTGTACTATTTCTTTGTCTTGCAGAAAGTTTTGACTTGTGTATAATCAGATTTGTCATCCTTTTACTTCTGGCTTTTGGATCTTGAGTTTTAATGAGAACAGTTGTGCTTACTCTTTAAAATAGTTAAGGCTAACAATCTTGTTTCTTTTGTTTCTTTGGAAGCTAAAGATGTATGTGGTTAAAATTAACTGTGTTCTTAAATTAGTGATAATTTATATATTCTTTCTAGTAACCTGTTTGTTTTCAATTTGTGATTTCTATTTTCTTGGTACATATTTTAAAATTAATATAATTTTTTTAGATATTTTGAACAGAGTTAACCCCAGCTCATATTCAAGGGGAATAAAGAATGGCATACTCAGTCGAGGTACAGTATTATTGTACTATTTTAATTTTAAAATAAAGTATTTTGACAAAATTAATAGAAACATATTCAATATATTGTGTAATTTTAAAATACAGGTATTACTGCTGCATTCAAGCCTACAAGTCAACACTATACGAACCCAACATCAAATCCAGTTGCCGCCTCGCCAGTAAATTTTCATCCTGAATCTAGATCTTCAGATAGCTCTGTTATTGTTCAGCCTTTTTCTAAACCTGTAAGTGTTTTTGAAACTACATAGTCAGCCCAGGGATATGTTTGATATTATTTATCAGTATCAGCAGTACTCAGTTAAAATTCTGGACTGTCACAGGTAGTTATCCAGTAAGAGCAAAATCATAAGAAAATGTCACCATTTTTATAATAGCTTAAATAGTACCCAGAGTAATAGTTGCAGGCACTAAGTCTCCAGCCTATTAATAAGTCAGGTAATATGCTTAAGTTGAATAGATATAATGTTGAAAACTATGTATCAAAATATGAGTTAAAATATTAATAATGAATATTGCATAATGGCAAAATATTTAAGATCACAAACTGGGTCAGGTGTTCTTAATAGGGAAAATTATTGAGAGACCATCATAGCTTTTTATTCTAAAAAGATACCTTCTTGGTTTAGTTTTAAAACCTTAATAAAAAGTAATAGTTAATAGTAATAGTTATCATTTATTGAGCTATTAATATACATAAGGATTTATGCTAAGTGCTATGCATAAATTAATCTTATTTAATTCTTAAGCATCCCTAGGAAGTATGTGCTGTTATTATCCCCATTTTATAGTTGAGGAAACTTAGGCTTATAGAGGTTAAATGATTCACTCAAGATCACACAGCTGGCGAGGATCTGAGATTTCATTGTAGGCTAAACCATTCTTTATGTGTGGGTACACACACATAACTATACATTGTATATGAATGTATGCTTTCTAAAAATTGGAAGCATTGCCTAGTTCTATCAGTTCTCAATGGATAGTCTGTGAAGTCCTCTGAGGTTCCCTAAAACTCTCTGGGTTTGGAAATCAATGATATTGTCATCGCAGTTGAAGATACTAATTTTGCCTTTTCTACTATGTTGACATTTGCATTGATGATGTTGAAGCAATGGTGTGAGTAAGCTACTGATGCCTGAAGTGGGAATCAAAGTAGTGGCACCAAACTGTACCAGTAGTATTCATATTAGTCACCTACCGTATATTCACAATAAAATTTTTTATTGTGAATATACGGTAGGTGACTAATATGAATACTCATTTCCTTGATGAAACTACTAAGATCTATTAACACCAGTTTAAGTATGAAACATTAATGTTATTAATTTTTAAACTCTACCCATTAATATTTGTCTTTTAAAATATTTTGCGTGATGAAATAGTATACATAAAGTACTTCTGTGTCTGTGTACTTTTGGTGCTTGTGTGATTGAATTACGAGCTACACTATCTGTTTTTTAAAAATAGAACATCGTATCTAAATAGACATTTCCCAAATTTATTCTTGAACTAAATATTTAATAATAGCTTTATAATGGAAGTGATCCCCATGTAGGGCATATAGGTTTTTTTCTCGTCTCATTATACCTGAAAAAGGTGACCGTTATGAACCTCCCCTGTTTTCTCCCATAAGGCGGAGACTATGTGTAAGACGTCTACCTAATCCATAATACTGGAATGCTTTTTCCCTAGATATTACTAATCCCAAATTATATATAATCCTTTTGTTAAAAGACTGTAGATTCTTATAGAAGAATTAGCTCTTTTCTAAGCCTAACAGTTCGAGCGGTGTGCGAAGTCCTTTTCAGAGCACTTCATTGAAAGTTTCATGAAATCGGTAGATGGCACCAGATGGTCTAAGGGGTAGGGATCCAGGTGAGTTTCCAGGTCATGACCTTTTGGATTTCGAAACTAACAGTTATTTTTCTGCTTCATTTTAATTACCTTTCAATATTGGTCATGCCTTACCTAGACTATAAATGGAATTGGGGTATGAAAATTTGAAAGTTTGAGTTCGTTTTACTTATATCTTAGGAAATTCTCATTCCTTAAGCCCAGAATTAAAAGAGTTATCTTTTTCTTATTGTCTTATATTCTTTTTAGTCTAAATTTTCTTTCCTTGTTTATGGCATGGTATATGAAACCCTTACCTGGTAATTTAGTGGCTACAGGCATAGAGTTTTACTGGATAACACATGGATAGAAGAAGGCTGTTTTTTTGGTTTTTGGTTGTCTTCCCTGTGTACCAGGATGTTTCTTTGACATTTCACTCTATTCCCTGTGTATCCAGTTTTATGCATAATAGATGGTATTGTGCTCCTACGTATCTGTTGATCTTGCTGGTCCCTTACCATATCTTTACACAAGTCCTCCATTTCAAGTGATATGGAGATAGAGCATCCTATACTTATGAATAGTACTCCAAAAATGCAGAAAGGGAATCATTACACCAAACATAGATAATCAGACCCATTCTGTGTATAGATACACAAACCTGGGCTCAAATTTTTCCTACAATGTGCCCAGTCAAGTTTGAGTGGTTCCTACCCTATCCTCAAGCAGTTGTTGATGGTTTTACTGGTAAAGGATAACTTTTGGAAGAGGAAACTGTAGGTCCTTTGCACAAGATTGCAGACCTCTGTTCAGGGACTGTAATCTTGTACTTATACAACTAAGTATATTGTATCTTTCACACTTCAGAAATTTTCCCCATCTTATCTTTTCTTTCCTTTTGACCAGGACTACATTTTTCAGGTAATCCCTAAGAACCAATAAATAATTCTTTATAAGAAATATAGTAATGGATTTAATTTGAAAAATATATGCGCATTTGTGTACATTGTATGACGCGAGACTTCCTTATTGTGCTGTTTTTATTTTTTATCTTTATTTTTTGGCAATTGTAAAGGAATAAAATTCCAAGATTAATTACAACAAAAATTAGAACACCATTTTTACTTGAAACAATGACTGACAAACCATGGTGTGTTATTTATTTATTTTTTTGTATCAACATTATCACACATGTATGTGACTTAAAACAACACATGCATTATCTCACAGTCTTATGTAATATTACTGTGGGTCAGATCATGGTTTAGCTGGCTCCTCTGCTTTAGGGTCTCACAAGGCCGCTTTCAGTATGTGGTTCCTGAAGTTGCAGTCTTATCTGAAGCTCTGTGGGGGAAGTATCTGCTTCCAAGTTCACATGGTTGTTGGTAGCATTCATTTCCTTATAGGTTGTCAAACTGAGTCTCAGTATCTGACTGTTTTTTGGTTCATTCTTTGCCAGATGGGTCTTCCCAGGTTGGCTGCTTGCTTTCTCAAAGGTATTAAGGGAGAATCCTTAGCAAAATGTCATTAGAGTCTGAAGTAATGTAATTACGAATAGAAAATCATGTTTATCCTATTACTTTTGCTGTATTCTACTGGTTAGAAGCAAGTCAGAGGTCCTACACAAAGGGAGGGAATCACACAGGATATGATTAACAGGAGGTGGGAATTGTGGCGGCCACTTTAGTATATATCTGCCAGGCACAGTTCTTCAATTTTGGGTAGTTGGCAATCACTTCCTCAAAATTGAACACAGTGTACCTGCCATCTCAAGGAAAATGACTGATAGTAGTATTTCTTGATTATGGTAAAATTTGAGCTTTCAAGCAAAGATTAGAATTTTGGAAAACTTAACATCTGCCACTCTGATCTTGACAGCATCCTACTATTTCTTGAAGTGAGGTGGAAGGCTACCCAGAATGTAAAAATTATTTGCTGTTAGTTAGAATCAAATTAACTTAATGGTGTTCTCATGATTGTCATAAGCTGTTTGGCATTTAGGGGGAAAAAGAGAAAGCGAAAACTCAATTATTTAATGAAGTTTATAAATAAAAATATTTCAAACATAACTTGGGGGGAAAAATAACAAAGCCAGGTGGTATCTTTGATGTTACAAAGTTAAAAACTAGAGACTTTTTTGACTTGGACTGTTGTGTTTTTGTAGGCCTAGTTTTAAAATCAAAGTACTTCAATTGGTGGTTCCCAATTCTTGGATTCTTTAAAAAAACCAAACCAAAACAAAACAAAAAAAACAACAGTTTTGCCAGTTGGTCTGGGTGGGGCCTGGAAATAATAGATTTTTAAGAACTCCCAGAGATCTCCATAAAGTTAAGAATGATAGAGGTGTATTCTAGAATGAATTGAGAATCCTATTTAAGGAACTTTCTCCCTGTATTTTGGAAGCCATTGGTTTTAATAAATTGATTAATAGTTTCCCATTTTATGTCATGTTTTGTATGTGTGTATGTTTACTTTTTCCATGAACTGTCTTTGTATTTCATCATCTCTTTCAGGTAGGCAGGGATGGAATATATTATTACTTATAAAGTTAGTATGATACAGCTTAAGGGTCAGACCAGGATTCTAATTTCGGCTCCATCCAAAATAAATGGTGCTGTATTGGGAACCTTCCTCAACCAGGAAGGGCTTTATTAGTTCTTTTGTGATGACTACTTGATATATTTACTATGACGAGCAATTACATATAAACATAATTGTGGCTGTTATTTGTCGGAAGATGAATAACTTGAAGTTCAGAAGTGAATTGCCCAAGGTTACATAGTTAAATAAAAATGCAAATCTTCTGAATGCCAGTAAAGTGCTTGTTCTACTCTTATTATTGTATATGACATTTTTCTGGACTGTTTTTATAATTCATTAAAAATTCTCAATTGGAGAATTATTTTAATTATTTATTTGTTGATTAGTGGATTGCCTGCTCTCTGAAATTGTGATAATTAACCAGAGTTTTCTTCTAGAAAAGTGTTTAACAGCATTAACTTTATTATACTTATGTTAAAAGAACTATTTTAGAAAATGAAATTTTCAATTCTTAAAGTGCATATATTTAGAAAAAATATTTAAATTGAAGTAAAATTTTGCTTAGTTATAGTTCAGTATGGCATTATTGATTTTTTAAAACTACATTTTAAGGCTCAGATATCCATATCTGCCTTTTTGGTCCTAAATTCTAGATGTTACTTGTGTTACAATAATAACTTATTTCTATAACTTCTTAACAACCCTGTGTCAATTGGAAAGTTAGTAACAAAGCAAAATTCTTAAACTTGATCAGCCCTCAATTTATAAACAAAATACTTCAAATTTTGTTATAAAATAATATGTATTTTGTGAGGAAAGTTTAGAAAAGAGAGAATATATCAGGACCATGTTGTATATGTCAATATGTATTTCACTTTTTACTGAACATTCTACTTGGATCATATCATTGATTATTTCTCAAAATCTTGATGTTAATAGTTGCATGATTATCCATCAATTTATTTTACCACTCCCCTGTTGTTGGAGATATAGGTTTTAATGTTTCTGCTATTATAAATAATTTTCCATTACACTTTCATTTCCTTATCATGAATCCTTGAATGTAGAATAATTTAATCATGTGAACCTTTTAAAGGCTTTGGTAACTACTGCTAACATTTTTATGCAGATTATACCAAAATATAACCTACTTTGCCAGTAGTGAATGTTTCATCATTTTTTAAAAAAATTATTTATTTTTTTAGTTTTTAGGTGGATACAATATTTTTATTTTTTATTTTTATGTATTGGGGATTGAACCTAGTGCCCCATGCATGCCAGGCGAGCGCGCTACCGCTTGAGCCACATCCCCAGTCATCATTTTTAAACTTTAACTTTATTCAAACTATCATTAGTCTTTTTAATTAAATTATTTATTTATTCTAATTTGTTATACACAATGGCAGAATGCAGTTGATTTCATATTACACATATAGAGCACAATTTTTCAAGTCACTGATTGTGCACAAAGTATTTTCACACCATTCATGTCTTCATACATATACTTAGGGTAATGATGTCTAACTCATTCCACATCATTCCTACTCCCTTGCTCCCTTCCTTCCCCTCCCTCCCACTGCTTAAGGGAACCATATATCAATAAGACATAACAGTTCTATCATTAGTCTTACAAGAAAAAAATAATTCAAACAGTTCCTATATTTCTCTTACCCATTTTCCCCCAATGTTAACTTTTTATCACAGGCAATTAACATGAACTAAACCTCAGACCTTAATAGAATTTCACCAGTTTTTCCATTAATGTTCCTTTTCTTTCCAGGATCCTATTCATGATCTCACCTTGTAGTTTATTCTTAGTCTTATGTTTTCTGCAGTTATTAATTCTTTTTTTGATCTTGATATTCTTAAGAGTAGCCGCTAATTATATATTTTGTAGTATTGAAGAATGCCAATTCAATAAACACTATTATTTGCATTTCTTTGACTAGTATGTTGGAAAAAAGGTATTTTGAATATATTGGCCATTGCATTTTAGTTTGATTTATCTCAGTTTATGTCCTTTGCCCATTTTTTTTTCTAAAAGTAGCTGTCTTTTTTTCCAGTTTGATTTTTAAGCATTGTTAATCTTAAAACTTGCTTGCTATATATTACAACATGTAGAGTGGTCTGGCTTACTCTCAACAATGATTGTCTTTTATGAAAATGGCATTGGAGCATAATATTGTGGTGTGTGTTTTGTGTATGTGTCAGCATTCTTAACATACAATGCTATTTGAATATTCCTAAATTTATTGACCACAATTTTCATAATTATTTATAATAAGTATATGTGTATATTTTCATATAAATGTATATATTACTGTATATTTGACCACAGCATAGTTCATCTCATACTTTTCACTTCTGTTTTCTTGAGATCTTCTTGCTAGTTTGAACCACCCTTTCTCCTCATGGAAGGGCTGAAATTTCCTTTGAGGCTCTGGTCTCTAGGAGCAGGGCTGCTGACCCAGATCACTTCTGTAAATAACTTCTGTTCTATTCCCTGTCTGCTTGGCATTCTTACTGGCCAGGTTGCTTTTATATTTGCCTTATAAAAGGGGAGATTGGCCTACCACAGCTTTCTGTGGGATGATAGGAAGAGTGAGGGGACCAGTCTTTTCTGACCTATAGTCAGAAAAGATAGTTCTGACCTATAGTCAAGAAAGATAGTTCCAAAATTCATATTGTGTGATATATTCGTCCTTTCTGTTTGTTTGTATTGATATTTTGAAAGCAGGATTTAAAAAAAATATTTTTTAGTTGTACATGGATGCAGTATCTTTATTTTGTTTATTTACTTTTATGTGGTGCTGAGGATCGAACCCAGTGCCTCACATGTGGGAGGCAAGTGCTTTACTGCTGAGCCACACCCCAGACACCAGGATGCAGAATTTTTTAGAGGCACAAGAGCTTTTAATTTTTATAACCATGTTAATATGTTTTATACTTGTCTCCTTGTTTAGCCCAAGATTTTGCCCAGTTCTATTATTTGCTTTTTGATGGTGATACAGCATTTTTAGAATCCCTCTCAGAGTGTATCACTGTTATTAATGTAAAATGGATTTACTTTTCTTTTATCTTGAAAATGTTGGACTATAATTTTTCCTTCAAATTAATTGGCTAGTCAGGAATAGACCAGCTCTATTAGCTTGCTTTCAAAGTTTTAGTAAATTATAATTTTGGCAAATTAGAAATCATCTTTGTGTTTTTAAGCTTATTAATAATTGAGGCATCAAAGGTTATTCTTAGAATATTGGCATATAATTAATTTGCATTTATAAATTTTATGAAAAATAATTATAACTATAATGAATAAATGTAATATTCTTTCTCTGAAATATTTTAACAGGGTTACATAATGAGCTCATCACGAGTTGTATCTAATAATTCTTCAGAGTTACTATTTGACTTGACCCAGGAGACAGGAATATCACATTACCAAGGGGGACCAACACTTTCTATAGCAGGTTGGTATTAGTATTTTTTCCAAAAAGTTATAAAAGAAACTTGATGAATTTGCTTATGGAATTAACTTTCTATTTTGAAGCTCATACCCTCTTGTGAAGTCTTTCATATATTGTAACATGGAGTTGTGCTAATAGTTTTTGAATGCCTTTTTGGGTAACTTTATATAAAATCTTGGCTAAACTTCTTTGAACTCATTCTCACTTGGAGCCAAACTTAACACCTTAAAGTAATTTATATGAATTAGAGAGGTCCTCATATGCCCTAAATATTCTATTTTAAAAATTAGTTTCTATGACCACTTAGGGGAAAAAGTGTTTGTTATTATTGATTTCTTCATTAGGTTAGTGTCACTCTAGTCCAATAAATGGTCTCAATATGATAGTAAAACATGATTTTAAAGTGTTAGTGTAAAGTAACCGCATTAAAGAAATGATTTGTACATAGTAAATACTCAGTAAATGCTATTTGAAGAAGTAATGAAATTTACCTATTGAAGAAGATTTTAAGTTCATTGAGGGTATAACAAAATTCTTCATTAATCTAAAATACATTTGTATAGTATGAATTTTGTCTTATTGAAAATTTTCTGTAATCAAAGTACTTAATCTTTATATACTGGCAATTTATATGTGTTTCAAATATTTGATGAAGTAGAGATGTATATGATTTTTTTGGAGTTTTTAGGTTGTTTACTAAACAGATCGGTGTGAAGAATCTACCAAACTCAACTTCTGTCCATTCTTTTTCCATAGTAATAATGCTTAATGTTTTTCCTTTTTTTTGTGTGTGGTATAGAGGATTTGAATCTAGGGCATTACATGTGCTAAGCAAGCATTCTACCACTGAGCTACTGTATCCCCAGAGCTTTATAAAAAATATTTTTACTTGAGACTAGCTGTTGTTGAGTTGCCCTCAAACTTTCAATCCTCTTACCTCAGCCTCATGAGTCAGTCATTAAGATTTTAGATGTACACCACTGTTTTTCTTTTCAGCAATATTTGATACTCACTTCTCTTGGTGTCACTACATACCTAGTAAACTTCTAGTTAATAAAGTAGGTAAGACCCAAAGAGAAATGGGGATATATTTGTGCTAAATCTGGTTTTACAAAACGCATGGACTTTTATTCATAAAAAAGATATGAATTCTTGAAACGTCTTAAAAGTAAGGATAATGACACCTATTCTCTAGCCAGGTTTTCTGATATAGAGAATGAAACTTTAGTCTGAGCAGTAAATAAGGTAATTTGAAAGAAGTAAGTTTGAACCTCTAATCTGGAGAATTTTTAGTCAGTTAACCTCTTTCCACTTTTGTTTTCTGATATTATTCAAAGTAGAGATACTCATTTTTCTTATATTATGCATTCATTCACCATACCTGAATCAGCCATTTGGAGATTTTACTTAAATTCTTTTTTTTTAAATATTTATTTTTTTAGTTGTAGGTGGACACACAATATCTCTTTCATTTTTATGTGGTGCTGAGGATTGAACCCAATGCCTCACGCATGCTAGGTGAGCAGTCTACCACTGAGCCACAACCCCAGCCCTTTATTTTAATTTTTAATATAGTTTATTCCAGGCTTTTTTTAAAATTTTTAAATTTGTTTTAATTAGTTATACATGACAGGAGAATGCATTTATGCACTTTGATATACACAGTGGGATATAATTTCTCATTTTTCTTAGTGTACATGTTGTAGAAACATATTGCTCATGCCATCACATATACATAAAGTAATAATGTCTGTTTCATTCTATGATCCTTCCTATCCCCACATCACCTTCCCTCCTCTCCCCTCCCTTCACTTCCCTCTACCTAATTTAAGGTAATGCTATTCTTCTGTAGTGCCTCCCACCTTATTGTGAATTAGCATCCAGATATTGGAGAAAGCATTTGGCCTTTGATTTTTCGGGGTTGGCTTATTTCTCTTAGCATGATATTCTCCAACTCCATCCATTTACTGGCGAATGCCATAATTTCATTCTTCTTTAAAGCTGAGTAATAATCCATTAATTATATATACCACATTTTCTTTACCCATTCATCTATTGAAGAAAACCTAGACTAGTTCCATAGTTTAGCTATTGTGAATTGAGCTTCTATAAACATTGACATGGCTGCATTGCTCTATTATGCAGATTTTAAGTCCTTTGGGTATAAACTGAGGAGTGGAATAACTGGGTCAAATGGTGGTTCCCTTCCAAGTTTTCTGAAGAATCTCCATACTGCTTTGCATCGTGGTTGTACCAATTTTCAGTCCCACCAACAATATATGAGTGTACCTTTTTCCCCACATCCTCACCAACATTTATTGTTGCCTGTATTCTTGATTATTGCCATTCTATTCAGGGCTTTTCTGATGGCCAAATAAGATAAGTAAATTTAAAAATGCATTTATAAGGTTTAAATGACATGACAGCAGTTATGTATGATAAATATGAATAATTATATGTACTATGATGTTCAGTAACATACTGTCGAAATTATGAGGGTTCAGAGAAGATTGAATTTGAGTTTGATCTTGAGTGAGTATAGGATTTATACTGGCAGAGATAGAATTTCTTGAAAGTAGGGAATAACACAGCCTAATAGAACAGAAATAAGTTAAAGAATCAGAAGTTCAATCAAATGCAAGTGACTTTTTTTAACATTGAGATTTCTTCTGTTAAATTCTTCCATTAAAGCAATCTATTTCTACTATTTAGCCTGTTGTAAAATCAATTGATTCATTTGAAATGGTAGCACTTAGTGGTTTTTCGGTTAACCTAAACATCTCACAAGAATGCTAAAGGGATCTCATGGAATCTTTCTTATAGACCTGCAGTTTGTAATAGAGTGCTTCATTAGTGGGAGATCATTTTTATGTTATCTCAAAGGATGGAACAGAGAAGCTAACTACTATAATACTTTTTATTTTTATGGCATATTTGCTCTTACTATTATATCTGTTGGAATAATTTTTTTCCCCTCTAAAATAAAGATGGAAAATATTTTGTTAGTAATGATAGTAGCTTTCACTTTCTACTGAGTGCTTTTTATGTACCAAATATTTTCTTGGGATATTTTAAGTATATTATCTTTTTCTTAAATAGCTCTGTAAAATAAGGCATTATAACTTATTTTACAAAAAAGGAAGCTGAAACTCAGAGAAATTAATTAAATAAGCTTAAGAGTGCATAGCTAGAGAGTGACATAATCTGGATTTGAACTTATCTTGTCTGACTTAAAAGCCTAGAATGTTTGTAGTTTATTCACTGCTTCTACTTTTAGTGTATAGTTGGCATTATTAAAATTTGATGTACAGTTTCAAAATCCATTTTTACAAAGCCCATTGTGTATTATTTTCTAAAAGGACTTTGCCTGGCTTGGTTATAGTCTAAATATCCCCATTTTTCTTAGTAATGCTCTAAATAGGTCTAAATCCTTTATCCTTAAGGTAATGGTTTTTAAATGGAAGAGTTTTTTGTTTTTTTTTTTTAATGAAATTCCTGTACAAACAAAATTTTATGTGAATATCTAATAAATAAAATGGAAAAGTGTTTTTTTGTCAGACATGGCCCAATATATTCCCTAAAATGACCCCATTAAATTCTGGGGAACATAGTATGAAAATTCTTATACTAACTCCCTGCATTATGTGCCCTTTCATATGAATGAGTAAAATATTATTCAAACTTAGTTGTTTCCACTTTGTACATGTCAATAAGTGGTTAAAATCACCTAAAGCTGTCAGTAGACCACTCTGCAGTTTGTTAGGTGAGAAAAGAGCTAACATTGCAGTAGACATTTTAAGTTGCTAAATAAAAAAGCATATGAGGGTATCAATTTTTGGAACAAATAAAAGTTATTGTCAGATTTTCTTTCTTCTTTTTTTTTTTTTAACAAATTCTAACACATTTAAGTATCCAAAAGTAATTTATTTCTGGGAACTTGGTTCAGTGTTTTCTGCTTTAAAATTTTTGGTCTGGCTTCTTTTATAATAGCAGTTTATATATTTCTGTTTGAAGCCACATTTAGAATTTCTTGCATAGAAAGGTTATTTTACAAATTATCTTAATTCTTGGAGTTTATAATAAATGTTTATACTATTTCTGTATATGCTCTGAGTTTGGATCACTTAATTTTTGTTGTTATTTGTGTGATATGGTAATTAATTATATTATCTGTAAATTAACTCCAAAGTATTTGTACTTAGTTATGAGTAGTATTCTAGGTGTTCTAAAATATTTTTTCCACTATTTAAATCATTGTAGGTGTGAATGAAAGTTCATTTTTATCAAAACGTCCTTCTGCTTCTGAAGTAAACAGTGTTAATCCAAAAAAGCCTAAGCCCTGTGAGGGTGTTTCTGGAACAAATTCTCCAGCTGAATTTCCTTCAGTTAAATCTCCTTCACTGACATCTTCCCAGGCTATGCCATCAAAAGGTAAATATGAAATCTGACATATAAATAAAAATTACTATAGTATTTATACATAAATTTTAGAAATTATTATAAATTTTGAAACTATCAGTGATTATTTAATGTTAAAAAGTGATAAGTTTTGAATCATAAATGTTCTGAATTTATTTTAGGTGCAAACACGTCATCAAATCAATCTAAAAATGGAACACCTTTTCCAAGAGCTTGTCCAAAGTGCAATATTCATTTCAATCTTTTGGATCCTTTGAAAAATCACATGAAGGTAAAGCTTTCAGAATTTAATTTTTATAAAGGTTGAAACCAGGCATGGTGGCACATGATTATATTTGCAACTACTTGGGAAGATGAGGATAGAGAATTACAAGTTCAAGGCCAGTTGGGCAACATAGTGAGACTCCCCCTCTCAAAAAGGAATTTTTTGAGATTTACAGTCAATATGGTCTATCCCAATATTTAGATCAGAAATCTTCTCATAATGGAATTTCTATTTAGCTTAGATAAAAATCTGCTTTCATAGTAATTATGTAAGACTGGCATTCCTTAATCATCAGATTTAAGAAATTAAGTTCATATATTTATAATGGATGCTTATTCTTATTTTATTTAAAAAAATCAATATTTTATTGGTCACATTGTTTTTCAAATTTAGAAAACATTTATTGTTTAATTTTTTAATAACTTAGATATTTTGTTACCTTATTTTCATAATCGCTAACATGTACATGTCACATTACATATGAAAATCTGAGTTTTTACATTTTAATTTTTAATACTCAGACATAAACTTCAAATGGTGAAGTGTTTCATATGAAATAATTGTTTTAACACAGTCCAGAGCATAGTTTATATAATTCTCTTGAACTAGTTTGAGCTTTTTATTATTGTAGGAGGCTCTGAAATTCAGATTTTAAGGAATTTTTTTAGATTATATAAGAAAAAGAAGGGTTCTGTGGCAAAGAAGTAAGGAAAAGTTCTTGCTCACTATTTCAACGATACACAACTTTTTTGTCGCATTTTACAAAAAAAGAAAGAAAGAAAAAAGCAAGGGGATCCTTTTAAGTTTTTAAATACAAGCTCTTTATTAATATACAGACTATATTTGATCTATACCATTTCCAGCTCTAGTAGTAGTGTAGTGTAGCCTCTAATCACTTCAATTTAGTGCTTAGGTTCTATATGAAACTATTCCCCTGTGAGTATTTTCAATTTCCTCTTCTTTGTAATGTTTTGGTGAGACACCTGATGTTTTTTATGTTTTGCATTATAGATGGAGAGGACAAAAAAAAGGCTACATTCAGTCCTCCTCGCAACTGATCAGATTTTAATCTTGTAGTTATTCTTTTGAAATTTTTTAATTTTTAAATTTATAATTATTAATATGTCCTTATTATACAAATTAAGAAATTTCACTGTGATGTTTCAATGCATGTATATATATCGTGCTTTGATCATATCCATCCACTCTCCTACCCTCTCTTGTCCTTCCTTTCTGACCCCTACCTTTTGTCCCTTTTCTCTTCCCTAAGAATGTCTTTCCTATTTCCAGGTTATCTTTATGTATTTTGGGCAGTACTGGAGACTTGACTGGCCCCAGGGCTTTGTGCATGCTAGGCTCTACCACTGTGCTACATCCTAGCTATTTTTTAAGTTTCCACATATGAGAAAAAAATATAATGCTTGTTCTGTCTCTTAATTATTTTGCTTAATATGGTGTCCTCCAATTTCATCTTTTGTTTTCTGCCCATGACGTGATTTCATTCATTTTTATGGCTGAATAATATATAACGTATTTTCTTTATCCTACTCATATGTTGATCAGCAACTAGTCTAATTCCATAGCTTGGCTATTGTGAATAGTACTGTAGTAAAAATGGATATGTAGGTATCTCTTGTATGCTGACTTCATTTCCTTTGGATAATAATAATATACCCAGAATTGATAAAGTTGAATCATATGATAGTTCCATTTTTAATTTTTTTTAAAGTTTTTGAGGAACCTTCATACCCATTTTTATAGTGTCTGTATGTACTGATGTACTGTTATATTCCCACAAGAGTGTAAGAGTTTTTTTTTTTTTTTTTTTCCATGTCTTTGCAAGCATTTTTGGATTTTTTTTTTTTCTTTTTGATAATAGCATTCTGACTAAGGTAAGATAGAATCTCAATGTAGTTTTGATTTGTAGTTCCCTGATAGATGAAGATATTGAATATTTTTTCTTATATTTATGGCCATTTGTATTTCTTTAGAGAAGTGTCTGTGTAGATAATTTGCCCATTCTAAAATTTAGATTACTTGTGCTTTTGTTGTTAAGTTTTTTGAGTTCTTTATATGTCCTGGATATTAATAATTTGTTAGATGAGTAGTTGGCAAAGTTTTCTCCCATTCTATAGGCTGTCTTTTCATTCTGTTGTTCCCTTGCTCTGCAAAAGCATTTTAGTTTAATATCATCCCATTTGTCAGTTCTTGCTTTTGTTCCCTGAGTTATTGAAGTCCTATTCAGGCAATCAATGATTGCTTGTATCAGTATCTTGAAATATTTCCCCTATGTTTTCTTCTAGTAGTTTCAGAGTTTCAGGTCTTAACATTAAAGTCTTTGATCCATCCATCTTGACTTTATTTTTGTTCAGGATGTAAGATAGGGTCTGGTATTTTCAGTCTTTTATAAGTGAATATCCAGTTTTCTATCCAGCTTGAAAAGGTTTCTTTTTTCTGACATGTTTTTGACACCTTTGTCAAGAATCTGTTGGCTCTAGATTTGTGGCTTTATTCTTGTTTTTCTATTCTATTCATAGCCTTCATGTTTGTTTTTATGTCAGTACATATCTTTGTTACTACAGCTGTGTAGTATATTTTTAAATCAGGTATTGTGATGGCTTCTACGTTGTGCATTCTGCTGAGGATTGCTTTGACTATTCTAGGTCTTTTATGATTCTATACAAATTTTAGGATTTTTTTCAAGTTCTGTGAATAATGTCATTGATGTTTTCATAGGGATTGCATGGTATATATAGATCACTTTTGGTGGTATAGCCATTTAAATTATATTCTCCTAATATGAACATGGGAAGCCTTCCCATGTTCCATTAGTTTTTTCTTTTTCCTTCAAGTTCTTTCTGTTTATACCTCTTTGGGGTCATTTTTATTATAGAAGTCTTTCACAGTCCTGGTTTTATTTATTCCTAGGTATTTTAGTTTTTGTTTTCTGAGACTACTGTGAATAGGATTGCTTTCTGATTTCTTTCTCAGTGAGTTTGTTATTGGTGTCTAGAAAAGCTACTGATTTTTGTGTATGCATTTTGTAAAATCTTACAACTCTGCTGAATTTGTCAGTTCTAAGAGTATTTTGGTGGAGTCTAGGATTTTCTGAGTATAGAATTGTGTCTGTAACCAAGGGATACATTGACTTCCTCCTATCCTAACTTTATCCTTTTTATTTCTTTCTGTTGCCTGATTGGCCTGGCTAAGGTTTTAAGTACTACTATATTGAATAAGAGTGGTGGAACATGTATGAAGGCACGAATTGGTGTCAGTACACTTTATATATAACCAGAGGTATGAAAAAGTGTACTCTATATGTGTAATATGAATTGTAATGCATTCCACTGTCATATTTATAAAAAAATTGTAATGCATTCCACTGTCGTATTTATAAAAAAATTATAATTGTAATGCATTCCACTGTCATATTCAATTAAAAAAAAGATTGGTGAGAATAGGTATACTTGTCTTATTGCTGAGTTTATTTATTTTATTTTAGTGTTTATTTTTTAGTTGTAGCTGAACACAATACTATTTTATTTATTCATTTTTACGTGGTGCTGAGGATCAAACCCAGGGCCCCGCATTCACTAGGCGAGCGTTCTACTGCTGAGCCACAACTCCAGCTCCTTGTTGCTGAGTTTAGAAGGGACACTTTCAATTTTTCTGTATTCAGTATGATGTTGGCTATGGGTGTTTTATATATCTCCTTTATTATGTTAAAGTATGACTGTGTTATATATAGTTTATTCAGAGCATTTTATCATGAAGCTTTGCTGAATTTTATCAAAGGTTTTTTTCTCTTTGAGATCATGTTTTTTTATCCTCTATTAATTTTTGTATTAATGTGCTATATTACATTTATTGACTTGTGTGTGTTAAACCATCCTTGCATCCCTTTCATGAAGCCAACTTGTGGACAAGCTTTTTAATGTGCCATTGAATTTGATTTGTATTTTATTGAGGATTTTGCATTTATTTGCATTTATGTTTATCAAGGATATTAGTCTATAGTTTTCTCTTTTTGTTGTGTCATTATCAGGTCTTGGTGGCAGGGTAATTCTAGCTTGGTAAGCTGAGTTTGGAAACATTTTCTTCCTTTTTTTTTTTTTTTTCCTAAATAGCTTAAGAAGCATTGCTGTTAGTTCTTTAAAAGTCTGGTAAAGTTCAGCATTGAATCTGTCTAGGCCTGGGCTTTTCCTTGTTTGGAGATTTTGCTCCTGCTTCAGTCACATTGCTCATTACTGATCTATTTGGATTTTTAAAATATGTGTCCAGAATCTCCTCCATTTCTTCTAGATATTCCATTTTTTTTTGGTATGTAGTTTTCCCAGATTTTCCCGAAGGATCTTATGAATGTTGTCTTTTGTAGTATACCTTTTTCATCTCTATTGTTGTTAATTTGGGTCTTCTCTTTCTTTTGGTTAAATTCGGTACACGTTTTTCAATTTCATTTTTCTTTTCAAAGAAACAGCTCTTTGTTTCATTTATTGTTTCTTTTCTTTTTTTGGTACCATGGATTGAACTCATGGGCACTCAACCACTGAGCCGCATCCCTAGCCCTGTTTTGTATTTTCTTTAGAGACAGTGTCTCACTGAGTTGCTCACTGTTGCTGAGGCTGGCTTTGAACTCGTGATGCTCCTGCCTCAGCCTCCCAAGCCACTGGGATTACAGGCGTGAGCCTCTGGGCCTGGCCCCTTAGTTTATTCTTGTTTTTCTAAGACCTTGAGATTTATCTTAGGTTATTATTTGGGATCTGCTCCCCCTACCTCCCTCAATATAGCCATTCATATCTATAAACTTCCCCCAAAGTACTGTTTTCACTGTATCCCACAGGTTCTACTATGTTATGTTTTCATTTTTATTTGATTCTTGGAATTTTAAAACTTCCTTCCTGATTTTTTCCATAACCTACTGTTTGTTCACCAGTGTATTTTTAGCCTCAATGTTTTGATATAATTACTGCAGTTTTTCTTGTTACAAATTTCTGGTTTCATTCCAT